ACTAAAGTTGAAACTGTTTTTTCCGAAATAAATTGCGTACATATCTGGGATGCGTACTCAAACGGGTGCGTACTTAAGCAGGAGGATACTGTAATGTCCAACGACGATGCTTAAATCGTGCACATTATGTATCCGAGCTAACATGAGAGAACCAGACGCTATTTAGACGGCTAAAATCACCCAACGAGTTGGCAATACTCGCATCTTTTTTGATATTGTCTGTAATGTTAAGATCAAAGTCTTACATCATGAGCGCCATGAATGCATACGTAGGCTGAGCGCACTGCTTAAAATAGTTGGTTAAAAATACCCAGAAATATATGGGTAAGATGAGAATGTGTTGATTAGTATGAGAAGAATAAACAAGATATCGAGCTTTGACTTCACCTGCCTCCTGGTCTAATCGGAGGCGATGGTATTACATACGAAGGATCATCACTTGAACATTGTCGACGCCTACAAAAAGAACTTTGCACGAGGAGCACGGGGCCTTTGATTTAAAAGTTGAACAGAGCTGCAGCAAATTGCAATTTCATGTAGGTGGCATGGACGCAACACATCTAGCATTTGCACAAAGGCAAATTATCAGCAGACAAAATTCGATCTCGCAGCACGTTGAACTTCTAACGCTAAAGCCAAATTTCGTAGATGCGTAAAATGGACCCGGGAATTTTTGATGTAACCACACACCACCAAACCTTTATAAGAACAAAAGTGTGTAAGTCTTACGGACGATGCACCATCTCCCTCCCAGAAAACAATATACAGTGATGACTTTATGAAGCGGATGAAAGATATGATCTTAACTGCAAAGACAAGAATCTTCTAAAAAGTGATATGACATGGTTATGTATAATAGTAACAGCTTGGTTGTGTCCTCATATCGCTGAAAAGTGTTCTAAGAACTTACTTCAGCTCAGGCTTCAACAGCCGATGAAGCGGCCCAGGACGTGACAGCACAGCTTAGGCAGTATTGCCAAGTAAACTCGAGGCAACAAGCTAATTGTATTTGCCACCACTTACACAGTCGATTTCAGCAAACCGGAAGGAGACAAAAGGCGAGTCGGAGGTTAAGAACATACACCCAGATAGTGGAATTTAGTCGATTGACAGACAGCTGTTTGTCATGAGCTGCCACGAAGTTATGAGTGTAGCATTCCTTTATTGGGTCAAATACGTCCTTGATCGGAGCACAAACAAAAATGCTCAGAATTTTCGCGTACAAACTTTGAAGTTTCAGGAACCTAACGCCAACAGACAAACCTATATCGCAAACGGACCTAGCGCTGCAAACCGTTTGAGACCGGCGACTTCACGGCAGACAGCGCGTCACCATCTGTGTGTCCGAGCGTTAGATCTCACGTGAGTATAGCGACAACATCATTGTTCGCGAGACGAAGAGACACGGGTTGAGTAACGAAAAGAAAAGCAAATTTTAACTGTATAAAATTGCATCAAAAGGTAAAATCACATTTTTCATGGCGAATTCCACTCATCCGTGCGATTGAGGCACCTACACTAGAAAACGTGCAATGGGGAGGTCACCTATAATGCGTTGTCTCATCTTGTTCGTTAACTGCACATTTATTCGATGAAGTGAGAACTTTGTGGAGCAGTATATCATGGCGGAAATTGCTCTTGGCAGCACTCTCGAGTTGTTATCGCGTCATTAGACCCCCAGCAGTTTGTTATGAATAGAAAATGACGAAGCTTGTCTAATCTTGGGCATGCTCATCTTCCAAAAGCGTTAAAAATTTTTATATGGAAACTAAGCTATGACTACCGCTATTTACGGCATGGACCATCATGCAAAACCGTAACTTCAAGTGTTGAGTTCATACCTTACTGATGGTGCTCTCACATAATGAAAGTTGTGGCTCAAAGCAATAATCGACCCTCAATGTCTTCAAGCCTTTCAATACCGAGCGGATTGAACTGAATTGGATCTTAGCTTTTCTCCTTTCTTACCTAGTCAGACCGATGTTACGAATTGGGTCTCACCAATCCGATTGTCCAAAATGTTCGGCTCAGATACTTGCTAGAGTCTCTTTCGCGAGTTCGTGGAGATCTATGCTCAACTGTATGATTTTTTTGTAGAGAATCTAATGAATTAAAGCGTTGTCGATGTTGGATTGCCGCCCACCTCGCTTATAAAAAGTACTGAATGTTTGAGTCCGCGAAACTACAGAGGATGGGTTGCTGGCTCCACCCGGAAGCGCTTCTCTGAGGATATGGTTTTGCGCTGTAATTTTAGGAATGAGCTCTACTTATAACTATGTTTAACGTCAACAAATACGAGCTACATTTGTTTGGATATCTTTCATGACCTTATGCATTACATATCGTGAGGTTGGAAGCCCATGTGCCATAGACATCTTCTTTAGAGAGTTTTAAGTACTAATTGTTGCATTTTGCTTTCAAAATCACCAGATGGCGTTAGCAAACGTGCTACAGCGAGTCTCGGCTAGTAAAGGATCAACTAAATATGTATCAGTCCTACTATCGTTCATAGTTTCATGTTTGCATAGCATGAAGTTGGCAGACCATGGGCCTCTCCTTTCCAGAATATCATTCTCTAATTCATGCAAGTATCTGTCATGATCCTTTATCGTAGTTGCATACTTTGTCACTTATCATTTTGGCTCTAGGTTTGACACGCCACGCCTCGGTGCGTACGCAGTTACACTAAGCTTTGTAGAAGATGCATGGCTTTTGTTGTGCACTTACAGTCGTAAGTATCGAAAAAGACTGAAAAAAGAATCGTTTTTGCTAGTTCATCAATTATTATTATCTTGAGAAACACTAGGGTTTCACCGTGCATCGCAGTCATACTGATA